GCCTCCGCGCCCCCACCCCCCAGCCTCCCTCAGGGCCGGAGGCTTTTCCTCGGGGCCCTCCGGTGGGCGGGAAGATGGCCCAACCCTGCAAAACCCCTTCTCGCCGCTGCCGCTGCTCGCTGAAAGAATCACCTACCCGACATGACTAACGGCCGCGGCGCCGAGCCCCCACAGCCCGCCGAGAACAAGGAATACGAAAGCCAGGCGGCACAGCGGCCGAAGCGGTACTGAGGGCAGAGCGGCGGGGTGAGCCCGACTGCGGGGCCTCGGCAGCCAATCAGAAGACGGTGGGCGGTACCACCGCGTCACGGCCGGAGGGGAGATTCTGTACTAGTACTAACCTCCAAACTCTGAGGACTTCGGAATCCCTATCTGTTCTCCCCTCCTCGGACCATACCATTATTGAGAGGGAATTGAGGAGAACGTACCAATGCAGCAATCAGGCGGGGGGAAGGAAGCTGAACCTGCTCTCTCTGTCCTAATTTACAGTCCTGTTTCCTACTCTACTGGGTCTGATAGAATTTGAGGTTAGGAAGCGAAAGAGGGGAGACCTTGTAAACACAGGTCGTTTGGTTAGAAATGGACTTTCTTCCCCTAAATTTTCGAATGGTATGCCCTAAGTCGCACCGCTGGGGCTGCAGACTGCTTGAGCCGCCTGGGGGCGTTCTGAGTCTACGAGCTCGGAGACGGAGAGTCGTGACCAGTTCAGGTACCTAATCGCCTCCCCGTTTGTCCTAGCTAGCTTGTCAAGTAAAAAACAGACTACAAGGTAATACTGAAACAAGCGTGTGCATTCAAACGAAAAATCACACACAGACTGGACTCTGAAAAAAAAAAAAGGAACAGACTGCACTCTGAGGATGAGGCGGGATGGGGTGCAGAGCTTTAGTCTTCAGTGCTATTGTAATACCTAACTCTCATGGTCAGGCACCTTACATTAGCTCATTTAATTCTCGCAACAGGCTGATGAAATGTTATCTCCATGAAACAGAAGATGGAGCAGAATTCACTTGCTCTAGGTCACACAGCAAGGAAATGGCCAGCGTGAAACTGAATCCTCGTCACCAGATACCACTGTCTGTGGGTTCAGCCCTGAGGCTGTGCTGCCTCAAGGGAACTAGAACTCTAGGGTGTGAGACAAAACTGTGAACGCCCAGTGGACACGCAAGGACGTTTTCCCCGAGGGGGCAAGGTGACATCCGAGGCAAACCAGAGGTGGTGAGAAGTTGACCACATGGGGGAAAGTGCTTTGGACTGCATAGTTGCAAAACAAGTAAGTCAGTATGTTCAGAGTTGGCCCGCGAAGGTAGAATGGTAGGAGATGAGGCCAGAAACGTAGCTGAGACCTTGTAAAGTACATGAGAGTCTGTGCTTTACCTTGAAGGCAGCGGGAACCCCTCACCTGGGGATTTCCAGAGAGAGTGGACGGGAGGGAGGAGGGGGAGAGAAAGAGAAAAACAAACATAAAGGTGAGAGAGACAGGTGGATTCATTGCCTCCTACACGTGCCCCTACCAGGGCTGCAACCCAGGTACATGCCTTTTTTTAAATATTTTATTGATTTTTTACAGAGAGGAAGGGAGAGGGATAGAGAGTTAGAAACATCGATGAGAGAGAAACATCGATCAGCTGCCTCCTGCACATTCCCTACTGGGGATGTGCCCACAACCAAGGTACATGCCCTTGACTGGAATCGAGCCTGGGACCCTTCAGTCCGCAGGCCGACGCTCTATCCACTGAGCCAAACCAGTTAGGGCCCAGGTACATGCCTTTGACTGGGAATCGAACCTACGACCCTTCGGTCTGCAGGTCCGATGCTCTAACTACTGAGTCAAACCAGCCAGGGTGAGACTTGGGACTTTTTTAAAGGATAAGAATATAGAAAGTATTGCTCATCATCAATTCTTTAAGTCTGTGCCACCATTCATCAATGTATTTATTCATTCATGCATGCATGCATTCTTCACTCAATTGCCATCTCATGATGACTGCTAGGTGTTAGGTCCTGGAAGGCCCTGGAGATAGAAAAATAGGAAGCACCGCAGCCCCTGCCCTTCAGGAATTGCAGTCTCCTAACAGGGACAGTATAAACGTGTTATTCAATCCACTACTAAACATACTCGAATTGGAGGTGCTCTGAAAACACAAAGGAAGGGCATTTAGGGGACCGAAGGGTGGAGGGTGGAATGGTCGAGGCGGTATTAAGGGAGACTTCCTGCAGGAGATACCTCCCAAACTGAGCTTTGAAGAAAGAGCAGGAATTCACCAGGGGGTGTATATCAGGAACAGCTTGCTCCACATGCAAAAGGCTGTATTTGCACAGACTAAGAGGGAGCAAAGTTCTGGGAATTGCAAGTGGATTAGTCTGGCTGTTCTGCAGAGTTGCAGGGATGGGGAGTGATTATAAATGAAGTGAAAGAAGTAGGCAGAAGCCACAGCTTGAAGAGCCTTATGTGCCTTGTGAAGGATTTCGGATATTAAATTTCAAACAATGGGGAACCTCTGAGGAATCTAATCAAATGAGTGGCATTTAGTGTTCTATATTCATTCTCTCTTTTAATCTTCTGGATGCCCCATGAAATATAGGTATTGCTGTTATCCGCATTCTGTAGACGAGAACACTGAAGGTGGAATTCTTTAGTTCACACAGCCAATTAAGGACAGAAGCAGAGCTCGAATCTAGGCCTTTGAACCAAGGGCAGTGTTCTTTTTACAATATCCCTGGTCTCCCAAACTTGAAACAGGGAACTCCTCCCAGGTCTGCACTGCTTTAGCGCTTCTTTCCAAGGGTCCTGCTCTACCACAAAGGGACTCACAGATTGAATCCCGTGCCCTCCTGCCTTTCAAGCTTTTGCCTAGGGATGATTATCTGCAACATAATTCACCCAGTCATTCTTTTTAAAAATATATATATTTTTATTGATTTCAAAGATGAAGGAAGAGGTAGAGAGAGATAGAAACATCAATGATGAGAGAGAATCATCAATCAGCTGCCTGCTACAACCTCCCCTCCCCCACTGGGGATCAAACCTGCAACCTGGGCATGGGCCCTGACCAGGAATCAAACCGTGCAGCCGGGCCACCCAGTCATTCTTCACACTACAAGATCCTGCTCCCTCTACCATGCTGGCCTTAGTCTGCATATTTAGGGGAGACAGCACGTACATTTTACACATCAGCGTTAGGAGGATGTATTTGTGAAGGTCTCGGTACTGGGCCTGTTTGCCCCTGGTCTAGCCCTCAAGTCCTCACATGGAGACCTGACCCTGCAGCTCCATTTCCGTTTCAGAGATTCCTTCAGGCAGTACCTTCCCACTAGAATCAGTCAATGGGTGTCCTATTGGGCAAGAAGTTGGTAGAAGAAAATGAGGAACCAGGGTTATTTCTCCCTACCCCTCTCTGCCATGGGGGAAGGGGTGTGGTGTAGGGTCTCAGGCAGCAGCTGTCTTGTCCAAGGCTCCAGTTTCCATCTTAGACTCTGGCTACTGGACTCCAGGAACCTTACTCCTCCCTTCATTCCCCCAGCCTATGGCTGGTAGAGGCCTCTAGCTATTGTTTTAAAAACAAACAAACAAATAACAGGGCAAAATAGAGTCACTTTTGCTAAACCACAGCACCAAACCAAAGCTTTATAACAAACTTAATTGCAATTTCAGCCTCTCCCAGGGGTGGAATTTTAAACCAATCAGTCTGGAATTTCCTGATCCACACTAGTGAGGCAATCTGCCCCATAAGCCCTCTGCCTTCCTCTAGGGCAGCAGTTTTTAAGATTTTTAACTGGTGTGCCACAAGAATTTTTTAAACATGCAATACCTGACTATTTAGTCAGCGCACTAACCTCTTTTTCCTTAGATTGTCAAATAAAAAAATAACAACAGCCAACACAACAATAGCCATCTGATGTGAACGAATCAAAATTTTACCTTTTTGTCAGATCAGAAAAAAATATTTATTTTTTTATTGTGCCCAGAATTTTAGTAATTAGTTTATGTGTGCCATGAGATGGAAAAGTTGAAAAGCCCTGCTCTAGGGTATGGCATCTTTGTCTGAAATAATCCACTCTTAATTTAGTCCCCTCTTCTTTCTTCCTATAAAAACCCACTATTTTGTATAACTCATCTGAGCACCCATCTGGTGATTCATCAATTGCTTAATAAAGCCAATTAGATCTTCAAATTTACTGTTAAATTTTGTTCTTTAACACTGTTGATAATTTTTGCGTTGCCTTCATTCCCTAGTTGGCTTTCCAATCCTTCGATTATTGCAGTAGAGCCTTGCAGGACCCTCTGAGAACTGTGGATTGACTTAGAGCGAGAAGGGAAGCCATTAGAGGGAGCCATTTAGCAGAGGCCTTTCAGGAACTGGCCTGTGTTACCAGGATTACTCTGGCTGCCGTCTTGAGAATAGACTGTAGGGGACAGGAGAGGAAGCAGGCAGCGGTAATTGCTCTTACCAGAGTGAAAAAGAGACCACAATGACTTTTGCCTCTCTTGTGGAAAGCCTGTGGAATTCACAGTTGTACCACATAATCCCAGGCTTGCCTACCTGACTAGAGGCCAATTTGTTCTCTAGTCCGGTCGCCTAGTTCATCTCTGAACCTCTCAGTGCCTCACACAGTGCCTGAAACAGGAGGCACCAAAAAGAAGGAGGAGGAGGAGGACCTTGTATTTAATTAATGAATAAATAAATGGGGGAAATGGCATGACTTGTCTCTCTCACTTGTCTGTAAACTCCTCAAGCTCAAAGGCCTTATCTAGGACTTTCCTAGTCTCCCAAGTGCTTGGTGAGTGTCTGTTGAAAAGCCGACAGCTGTTCTGTGCCAGGTGCCACAGGCAGTAGTAGCCATCACCACCCTCCACGTGGTGCCTCTCGCTGCTCCCCCAGCCTTCCTAGAGAGCAAGCCTCCCGCGAACATTACCCTGAGGCTCCACTTTGGCAGGGGAAGGCGCCTTGTAAATGACTGGGCTACTCCTCCTCTGGACAGTGGCAGGCACTTCCTGTTTGGGGTGGAAAGGAAGCAGACAATTTCCTGTTAGCAGGTCTTTTGAGCAAAGCAGGGGAGTCTGAGCAGGGCCTGGCCCAGCCTTTCAGGCCAGATGCCTGGCGGAGAGATAGCCTTTATGTGGAAGGGAAGTGGGGCACAGTGCCAGATTGGCCAGGCTTTTATTATGCTCCTAGCAAGTCCCCTGGGTCCTGGTGGGAGTAAAAAACAAACCAGAAGAGACTGACACCCTGCAAACTGCGATGAGGGTTAGGGGAGATGGGACTGGTGTTAGCCAAAGAGAGCTGCCTGGTGAGGAGGTGCTCATGTGACTCCTGGGGCAGGCTTGTGTACAGAGTCCATGTGAGCACTCTCGAGTGTGAACCTGTGTAAAGAATATATGTGTGAGCCCTGGCAGGTGGCTCAGTTGGTGAGAGCACCCTCCCGATACACCAAGGTTGCAGGTTTGATCCCCAGTCGGGGCACATACAAGAATCAACCAATGAATGCAGAAATAAGTGGAACAACAAATCAATGCTTCTCTCTCTCTAAAATCAATCAATAGAAAAAAAAAGAATACGTGTGTGTGTGTGTTTCTAAGCACCCAATACCCAGCACTTGATAGGATTTAACGTTTATTAACTATCTAGCTTGTTCTCCACAGAAAACCGGGGTACTAGAAAAGGCAGGAATTATTGTTGTCCCATTTTAAGAAGGCAAAAATTCAAACCCAGTTCTGTCTTGTTCTACATTTCTTGCTTTTTCTAGTTGCATATGAGCATGTGTGTGTGTGTGTGTGTGTGTGTGTACAGGGAGGGAGGGAGGGAGGGAGGTATACTTGTGAATGTGATCCAGACTGATGACACCACATCCACATGTGCTAGAGAGGAAATTTCTGTTTCAGAGGCAGAAGTGATTGCTAGAAAATCAGGGCTTTAAGAATTGAATCACAGCTAAAAATGCACAGAGGTTATGGTCAATAATGAATCCAAATCATCACAGCTAAAATGCTCAAAACTCCGGGAAAAGCCTCCTTTCAGCTCTCCCAAGCTAATCTCATGTCCTCACGATTCCTCTTCTTATTCCTATTATTGTAGTTTTGGGAGGTTGATCATGCTGTTAGTGCCTTTCTCTGGAGTCCAGAATTCCTTCTGATAAAATCTGCTTTGTGTTCTGCACACTTCCTGGGGAGGAGGAAGGGGCAGAGACAAAGCGGATTGTTTCTCATGTTATGAAGAGAGAAACTGAGGCCCAGAGGGGCCTTGTCCAGGTCCGCACATCCTGCCTGATTCAAGAAGTCCTGGTCAGGAAGACGACTCATTGGCCAGCTGTTGCCTTCTGTCACAGAAGAAGGAATAGTCCAGGCAGCTGCCAGCCTGGGCAGGCAACATGCCCACGCCCTGGCTTGAGTTCCACAGAAGTCTGGTCCACTCTGGGAAAGCTGGGAGGCACTGTGGATCTGAACTAAGCCCAGTGCGGGGCGAGGGAGGGAGGGGAAGCAGCTCTCTTTGAAGAGGAAGTATGAGAGGACTGCCAGCCCTGCTGGGCCAGGAACCTGCCCAGCCAAGTTAGAGTGAGAAGGAAGGTGAGAGCCAGATCCTTGGAAAACCTAGTACTAGCTTCCTCTAGAACATTGCTATCTAGTATTTAGTGATTAAGTAGGTCTGGAGTAGGGCTCTAGAATCTGAATTTTTAATGTGTGCCTCTAGGTGATTCACTGCAGGTGATCCAAGAATCACATTTTATAAATTTGACTTGAGGAAAGATAGTATAGTGTCTAAGGGTGTGAGATCTGGACTTATTCTCCAGTTTTATACCCTGACTCCATTTCTAGATTTGTGACCTTGGACAGGTGTTATCTCTGTGTGCCTCAGTTTCCGCATCTTTAAGATAAGGATGCTGACACTAGTAGCTGTAAAGATTCGATGACAAAATCTGTGTCAAGCACACAGCACAGCACATACATGGCTCATGTTAATTTCTCAACAAGTATTTGCCATTATTATTTGCTCCAATTCCTCATTCCCATCCCCACCCCTCCCCCACCAGAGGAAGAAATAATAGTATTGGGTTGATACAGCGATTTGTCACCACAGTATTGTTTGGGATGTGGGTGATCTTTGGACTGTGCTTTGAGAATTCCTACTCCAAAGCCATTCTCCTCCTATCACTCTTCTGATACCCTGGCTGTGGACTGAGCTTCTTCGGTAAACCTATCCTGACTTTATCTTCCTGTCCTCCTTGATCCTTCTCTCATATGGCAAGCCACCTTCCTTCTCCGCCCCTTCGAAAGTTATTTGGCTCAGCATGTGTCCTAAGGTAACACCAAACAGCAAGTCAGTTGAGGGGCCACAGAGACCTCTAGATTCCTGAAGAAGATCACAGAATCTGTTGCTCTGGGACTTATGAGTAAGCCTCAGAGGCAGAAGGGAACAGAAGCTTCTGCTACCCAGGTTCTAACCATGGAAACATGCTGGGAAACAGACATCCTGTGCAAAGGCATGGTTGAAGGCCATGGGGAGTGTGTGGGCAAAGGAAGCTCTGTTCTGTACAAATTCTTGCGAGCACTTCCAACTCTGCATGGCATCTCCAAGTGACCATTAGCAGGAAGGGAATGGGGGAAGGAAGGATGGCATGAAATAATTCAACCAAGGACACAAAAGGAAAGCAGAGGAAGTCAACCTTCAAACACAGTAGTTGTGCTCGTTTTTGAAGTTCAGAGACCAAGTCTCACCTGGGATGCAGAGAAAAGCAGGGTCAGCTATCCGAAGTGTCTCCTCCCAGTCACTCAGCCCTCCTGAGACCATGGTTTCCTGCCTCAGGAAACCCCTAAAGCAGGGTCAGCTATCCGAAGTGTCTCCTCCCAGTCGCTCAGTCCTCCTGAGACCACTGTTTCCTGCCTCCCACTCTCCTAAGAGTGCAGCTGAAATAGAGAACTCCTGGGATGTGCTAGAGCAGTGGTTCTCAACCTTCCTAATGCCGCGACCCTTTAATACAGTTCCTCATGTTGTGGTGACCCCCAATTTCATTGTTACAAATTGAACATAATTAAAGCATAGCGATTAATCACAAAAACAATATGTAATTATATATGTGTTTTCCGATGGTCTTAGGTGACCCCTGTGAAAGGGTCGTTCAACCCCCAAAGGGGTCGCGACCCACAGGTTGAGAACCGCTGTGCTAGAGGAAGGGATGGAGACATTCTTCCTGAAGAAAAAATTGGCAAATCTGGGTTTGGCTCCAGCTTGGCCCACAATGTCCTTACCAACTGGTACTCCCTAGAACTCCCTGGCCCAACCCAAGTAGAATTGTATCTGGCCTATTAAAATCCACCTTATTGGTCAAGGGCACCATATATTATGTCATACCTGCAACCTTCTGACATCCTCCCCAACACACACACACACACACACACACACACACGCACATACACTCATCGAATAGAGTACACCAAGTTAAACTTGAATTTCAGATTAAATTTCTAGTTTATGTCCCAAATAGTGCATTGGCACATGCTTATGCTAAAACAATTACACGTCGTTCATCCGATAACTCAAGTTTAACTGTATTTTTATTTGCTAAATCTAGCAACCTTACCCAACTCACCTTCAGAATCTGCCTCCTCCAGGCTCACCACAGGACTTCACTGGAACCTGTGGCTTGTGTTGGTTTTAGCTGAGAATCTTCGTTACAGTCTAACCCGCTACACCGAAAGCTCTCGGAAGATAAGGCCCGGCCTTGTCCACAACCTCTGGCGCTCCCTTCCAGGAAAGGACTCTCCTTATAGAGTCTATAAGGAGAGTCCTTATATCTATCTATTAAATATAGATGCACACAGGGCATCTGTGGAGAGGGGATGGGCAAAGAAAAATCCATTCTCAACTCTAGGCCCCAGCGGAGTCCAGCACGGCGATGTGCCATTCAAAGGCGCCTTTTTCTCATTGGGCTGCCAGAGGAGCATCTGCTTCTAATTGGTTCGTCCAGGAGGAGTGCCCCCTTTTCATTGGTTGGTTGGGAAGTGGGTGGGGCCTATTTTAATTACTCCACCCACAGGAACGCCATTTTCGAGGAAGGTTGTCTAATCAAAGAGAGGCCTTTTAAAAATTCCTCCACCAGAGTGGCACCTTTTTCTAAATAACAAAACCATTCTATGTATTAATAAATTTTCTGAGGCCCTAAGCCTGAGGATAAGAGCACTTCATTACGTTTGTTTGGCACTTTATAGATTCCAGATTACTTTTACATCTATCAACTCATCTAATCCACACAATTCCGAGAGGTGGGCATCACTGTGTCCTTTGCATTTTACAGACTGAGACTAGGAGACAGTAACCTGCTTGCAGTTACTAAGGCAGATAATGAAGACAGTTTACTTTGGCTCAGCATGAGTTTAGCTAAAGCTTCCACGTGAATCATTTCATTCCACCTTTACTACCATTGTGTGGGATCCATAAAGCCAGGTACTTTCCACACATTCTCTCTTTTAACCTCCCTGCAACTCCAGAAACTAAATATCATTTGCTCTCATTTTACTGGTGAGGAAACTGACACTCCAAGTAGTTAAATCCTTTGCGAAAAGTCACCGTGCTTGCAAGCGACCATTTATCAAATGCGTACTTAATGCCAGCACGGTGCTGGGTTACTTGCAGGCGTTATTCTCTCATTAACTGCTCCCTACAATGACATGGTTCTGCCTGGTATTATTATCCCTGGTTAGTGATGAGAAAAATCAGTTCAGAGAAGGCTTGCCCAAGACCACACAGCCAGCAGGTAGGTTGAGGCAGGATTCACACTGCTAGCAAAAAAAGCAGATCTGGAACTCAAATTCTTCTGACCCCGCCCAAGGCTCCTTCCTTCACTCTCCGGGTCCTTGCTCCCTGCCAGCCTGGCTGAACCAATCAATGAGCCTCATCTACAAGTCAGGTAGCTCCGCCGGCCAGGAGAAGACCCTCTCACCCCGCCCTCCCCAGAGCGATCTGGCTCAACTCGAGGTGGCCGGCGAGAGAATGGGTCCGCGGGGCGCCAGCGGGCACCGGGCGAGGCCGTACAGCCTGCGGAGGAAACTTCAGAACCGCCCGTTCCAGCAGCCGAGTGGGGTGGGTGTGGCCGGAGTGCCGGGCTCCCGCCCCTCCTCCCTCCCTCCCTTCCTCCCTCGCCTTTTAGGTCTCGGGGCCCGCAACCCGCTGAGCAGACACCGCCGGAGCTGGACTACCTCCGGCTCCGG